TCTGGACAAAAATTTTTTATTAAGGCCCCATAAAATGAAACCCCGGGGGGGGGGGGGGGGGAGTGCGGGCAAGGGGTGGGGATTTGACAAATTTTAAAATTTTTTGATCAAATTCCCCAGGGTGGGAAAGGAAAGGTCAATCAAAAGTGTCAAAAAAGCCCCCACCCCAGGGGAAAAAATCTAAACAAACAATGCTATAATACTTTAAAAACGAATAAGAGAACATTTCAAAAGTATGTTCTTACTACTTTTATTTAATTAAAGGTTAACATAAGCTCCGTTAAATTACTCGCTGTAATTAAGTATTTTCTCTCTCCACTAGCATCTCTTATTTTGAGCAACAAAATCCCTCCAGGAAGACTGACCGAGCTATTATAATGTTAATGAAACATACAATGCTTTATAACATCTGCTCAACATGTCGGAACAGGTCGGATCAGTGACCCATAAAAATTCCTCTGAATTTCATGGTGGAATTTTATTTCAATCGAGTTTTACAATCAGATGGGCACTTGAAGATAAAACTTTCTCAAAATAGACATTATCTGTTTAGATGACAGTCGGATTATGGCGATTAAAACAAATGAAAACTTCACACCTTTCTCCAACAGCGTGACTTTCAGAAAGCCTTGAGGGACAGACTTGGTAACCACTTCTGAATTGGTACCAGGCTTCTGTCGGTCAAAGTCAAATGTCCCGATCCCAGGGTCGCTTCCCACAATCAAAAGCCCGACAGGGGGGATTGTCTTAGGCATCAAATCCCCGCCCCTTTCCCGCACTCCCCCCTCATGGGATTTACATTGATAGGTGCATTAGCTCCAGTTTAAGCTGCAATCCATTCTTAGAAATTTGGACCTGTAAATCACTATTCGTGAAAATCACTGTCTGCAAAAACTGCTAACGAGCTGGGCCAAGCATGACAGAACAATGCAGGAAATGTTAACATTCCCAGACAAAAGAAAATCACTTTTAGTTATTCAGATCCAGGAGGCACTTTGGAGAAAATTAAACAATGTAAAAGTTTCTTTAGCCACAATGAAAAACTCTACGTTTCAAAACAGGACAAAGTAAATGCTCTTGCATCAGAGGACAAATCATGCATACAAGAAACAAACTGCAGAAAATCAATATGCGTGTGACGACCTCTCAGTATGAAACAAGGGGAAAAAATAATGTACATTTGCTCAGTCAAAATGTAGAACCCTCCAGAGCATAATCTACCTGCTAAAGAAAACATTGATTGGAACAAACAGCATTTTGGCACGAGGTGTTACGTACCGACCCCCTTTTTGAGCTATTTTGAAAAAGTAGCTCATATGTCAGTAGTTTGAGCGTATGTATCTTAGTGGCTTTGTACCTTTGTGGCTTTGTATGTTTGGATGATTGTTGGAGGGGCCAACAAGGTTGAAGGTACTACGAGTTGACTTTATATGTAAGAACCAATCAGATTTTGGAATCTAACCATTAATGATATTGCTTAAGGTCAAACAAGGGCACTTAGAGTCTGCCATCTTGATTCTTCACAATTTTTACGACTTTTATTACCGCTAAAGGTGTTTAGAACCATAACATTGAAATATCTTCATGATTCAAATGCCAAGTACAGTAATAACGCTGTTGACGGGTCCATATTTTAGTGTGGGTGCTGCTTTAAGACATTTGACCTAAGTTGGCTATCGAGAACAGTACAACGCACATATTTCATAATTTATGAGTTCTGTTTCACTTGCTTCAAGGTAGAGTATAAAATATCATATATTAATTTTTCAAAGTTCTTCCAATGAAACAATAATTGAAATTCGGAAGTTTGCGGCCTATAAATTGTTGTTTTAGAAGTTTCAAAGGCAAGGCGGGTATTGTTAAACCTGTAAACAAGCTTTATTCTCTCACTTACAAAGTTCAACAGACCTTTTCCGTACCAGCAAAAATAACATCAATTAGGTGAGGAACATGATACATGCTTGCCCCTTAAGAAATTATAGTTTTAAAAACGTATTTTATAGAAACGTATTTTATTTTATTAGTCCAACCCCTCCCTTCACCCCACAAACAATGTTGGACGCGTGTATCCAGAGTTTCAATTTTGTATAGGGTGGGGGGGGAGGGAGAACTGCAAGAAAATTTTGAAAATGATGCACTGTTTATGAGGGAACCTAGAAATGACAGAAAAATATGAATATTGCAGTATTGCCCCAAGGACTTTGCCCAGGATTGTCTGAATCCTGATTTTTGGGGGAAAAAGTCTGTTTTCTTCATTTTTCCTGCGCTTTTACTGTTTTGTTTCTTTCCCAAAGGAAACAAAAAATATGCAGTGATACATTTTTTTGCTATTGTCCTCCCCAAATGAAAGAACACTAATTTGAAACATTGCGTCAACATGCATGATTAATTGTTTTGGTGTACAGTAAACACCCACATATAAGAACACACGATTTTGGAGGTCAGGCTGATTGAGTTCTTATTTATTGGGTGCTTAATGACAAATCAGCCTCAAAATGTTCTTAAAATGTTCTTAAATTTTTATTTAGTAATACTATCCAAAACATGTTGCTAGAGGTATATTTAGCATATTTTAGGAAAATAAAATATATAATTATTCTGTAATTTGATTATATTAACAAATGAACATATTTCTTATTTCTTCTTTTCTTTTTTCTTATGTAATTTAATAACGCCTTTAGTTAAAGTCTTGTCCTACCTAGATTAGCATTGTAGCTATTTGCAGGACATGAAGTATTGTAAACTTTATATTTCTTTAAATAAATACATTGTTGTTGTATGAACACAATCAATAAAATCAGCCTGATGAATAAATATTAGTTATGACACTTTTTCCATTTTAAAAGAACACGTTACAATTTTCAGGCTGATCTTGTTCTTATAAAAATGGGGCTTTATTGGCCAAATTTCAGCCTGGTGTTCTTAATCCATTTGTTCTTATAATGCAGGTGTTTACTGTAGTTGGTGTCTGACCATGAGTGAAGATGGAGAGGCAAGATTTAGGGAGCCGAAAACGGGTTTACGAAGAACGCGAGTTAGTCAAAAAAGCTATCCCCTCGTCAACCAAATATAAGAACAAATGGGCGGTAACAATTTTTGGCAAATGGCAAATTTCTCAGTTGGTTAAAGTTCCTGTTTTAGATCCAGGAGGGCTCTTTAAAGGCTATGATTTACACAAGGTTGCACAGCTTTCTACCAGCATTGAAGAAATGGATGCAGTAACCTTGAATTACTGGCTTAGCAAGTTTGTGATGGAGGTGGCCAAGAAGTCGGGGGAGAGATATCCACCGAAGACCATTTATGGAATAGTTTGTGGTATCCGACGCTATCAAAGTTAATAATATCAAATAATACTCAGGTCATTTTTGGAATTTTTGTTAACGATATATTACTATTCTACTATTGAAAAATGCCCATTAAAATGTAAGTGTTTGATCTGAGATCAAAACCATGTTTGATCTCAGATCAAAACCCATAAGATTTTCATCTGAGTGTTCATTGGGTATCAAGGTTCATGCATGTGACCCAAATATGCCTCAGTTATTGGCTATTGCCCTCATGAATAATTAATGAGTTTGAGAAGCATGTATCAATAATTTTTTCTGAGTTTCAACTTTGTATAGGGTGGGGGGGAGGGAGAACTGCAAGAAAATTTCAAAAAGGATGCACTGTTTTAAGAGGGAACTGAGAAATGACAGAAAAATATGAATACTGCAGTACTGTCCCAAGGACTTTTTTCCAGGATTTTTTTACTGAAATGAACTGGAACTGGTTTCCTTAAAAAAATTTGCAGGAAAAGGACTCTAGCTGCAATTTCAGCCTTGACTGGAAGCTATTCCAAGTATGGCAGGCTGCCAAACTCTCAAGGACATGGAGAGCAGGAGTGGATCATTATGCATTTCTGGGAAACGGCCCACCATGTGGTAGGGGCATTGTACGTCTTTGGTTAACAAACAGCAAAATCCCTGCGCTAACCAGTGTGGGATTGAAAGCCAGTATTCCAGTATTAGTATTCTTAGTATTACTCCAGATTTCTTAGTATTTTTACATTTGTTCGCCAGTGTACTGCACACAGCAGATGAAATAAACAACAAACTTGCCTTGCACCCCCTATAATAAAGGCATCCACAACTGCCTGCTCTATTAGGCACACTACTGCTCCTGTGACCTGACCGATAACTTCCGTACATATATTCTGAGCTACCAGCCACTGAAAATGATGGTTTATTCAGATGTTTATAGCCCATATCCCGAAGAATTAGTAGCCTTTTGAAAAACCCAGGAAATGTACCCGGCCGGGGTCACCCCCAGGAAAGCCAATTAAAATTATTAATGATTATTAGTGCAATACATTTCGGGCATTTCGCTTCTTTGAAGTGTAGACTAGATTAAGATACGATTGCAGCCGCAGGTATCTCAATCCTGCCTTTTGCGAGGCTTAAATATATTACCTGCCAAGGAAACTCCAAGGAAAACAACAAAAAGAAGAGAGCTTGTGGCTAGCCATGACGGAAACATCACTTTAAGGCATCGCCAAAACCGCTTTAAAAACAAGCGATCCAACTTGAATTTACTCGAAGAACTGGAAGAAAGTTATAAAAATACCAAACACCCATAAATTCGCTATCCAAAGAATCAAGAAAGCAGAATTTCTTACCTGGCTCCTCCAAGGACCGTCATGTTGAAGCACGATGTAATTCAATCTCCCCGCGGTTCCGGTGAGCCCACGCATGAGGGCACAGTCCAACTACTGCTTAGCGGTTTTCCGATAAAACTAGTTTCCAGGTTCCGAATTTGTCAAATCCAAGATGGCGTCAAGTCGTGCTCAACTTTTCGTTGCGAAACTTCCTTGGACAGTCTGTCGTGGTATGATTCCTAATTTTTACTTGTCGTATAAAAAAGTACTAGCAATACGTTATCGGAAAAATCTCGTGAAGCTGTAAAGGGTCTCAAAGTCAGTTCTTGCGAAACAAGGGGAGGTGATTGACAGATTGTCTACCATCCACGATATGCACGTGGCTCATCAAAATATTGGGACTTTCGATGTTTTCGTCATCTTTTATCCCCTTTTTCACTGTCCTCTCTGCTGTCCTTACCCCGCTTCCATGAGGCTGAAAAGATCCTGAATCTTGAATTTGGACTTATTAACGTCAAGCTATTTTACCCGGCCCACCACTTCAGAAAATTTTCCCCATGATAATTCCACGCAAAAAGAAGGGCTGCTTTCCCTTGCCTCCTCCTTTCCAAACACTCCCCCCTCCAACACCTTGCTAAATGATAATATTCATCTTAGTTTAATTCATTTACTAATGATTATTAACAGATACCCTAAGAGAATACTTTCAAAAGTTTGGCGTGGTTACATCTTCCAGAGTTGTCTTTGTAAGTATGTTCGTAGTAGAGCTTGTTGCAATTATTTGGGTATTCCCTAAAGACAAATGATAATTTTAATATTAAATATTAACCATCATGATAACTTCCCTGCTTTAAAATGTTAGAATGAAAATTCTGAAGTCTTGATAGTTTAAGTGAACAGGGTGCCCAAAACGGCAAGCATCTGATCTGGGAAATCAAAGGTGTCAATTTTGTCTCCAGCAAAATCCGCTGAATGAAGGGTAATTTGCATATACATGTAAGTGTAAGTGAAGCGAAATAGACAACAAAAGCCAGGATATTTCAGTTTGATGGAAAGGATAGGTAATTTGCATGCTGATGAAAACAACTTCGAGTGCAATTCAAACCGTTCGACTTCTCGTTTGTTTTTCTGGAATTCCATAGTGAAAAATGCTGTAAACTGAATTAAGTCACACAACACCCGCATAACTTGATGATCATTCTGGTAATCTTTTGTTCTTTTATTGTCTCCAAAACAATCAAAATGTTTCACCAATTTCCACCTACAAATAATGGGAGACATTTGATTTACAGAAAAATTTGCATTCACCATTGACACGAATAAATAGGCCCAATTCCGTAGTGTTTTTTACAAAGACTTTGGTAAAAAATAAATGTTGGGGTTAGGGCAAACCTGCGAGGATATACATGTACTTGTGTGCTGACTGTTATTTTGAAAAAAAGATGCCGGTTAAGGTCTGGAGAACTTTAAAATGTAACATTATTGCTTGACAAAATAATATAAGGGGAACTGAAGGGTGTTCAATACAAAGCTGATCAAGAACATCGCTTTAAAAAGTTCCCCTTTCATGAAAAAGATAGCCTGCATAGATGGTGGAGGTTTTTTGGGCTGTGTTCTAGGTGCAAAAATGGCCCAGAAACTAAAACAAAAAAAAATGGGCAAAATTTCCAACTAAAGCACAGAAAAGCTCAAAGGTCCATTTTATCTGGGAGATTTGGTGACCCGTCTGTTCAGGAGAGTAAGAGATCAGTGCCGTATCCAGGAGAATTGGCATAATATATGGCCATGACTCCTGTGAGTAACTTTTGCCATATTTTGTCAACCGTTTTATAAGCTATTGTTAACTTTTGCACATCTTATAATGCTGCACACCTGAATTTTCAAGGTTCAGAAGAATAATTGGACTGATAACCTAACAGTTTTTCTTAGAACACAGCTGTGTCCTTTGAAGCAAGACCATACACAAAAAAGTAACAGTCCATCTTCAATGTTTGATCAAAATTAATTATATACTTCATTGTTATTATTTCTGTAATCATTGACAGGACTATAAGTCTGGAAGATCAAAAAAGTATGGCTTTGTTGAATTTGATTCTCCTGCATCTGCAGAAAAAGCACTCAATGAGCCAAGTCACTTCATTGATGGATCAAAGGTATGATACATGTACATGTTGTTTGGGTAGAAGTATTATATATAATTATAACAAAGTATTATAATTATAACAACTTTCAAATGAGAAATAAGTCATCTCTCATTTCTCTTATATGGGTATTAGGCGAATCCTTGCAGAGGTCATTAGCATACAAAGTCAACCCATAGAAGACTTCACTGCATTTACAGTTATTAGGCTCAAATGTTGAAAGAACTGGTTAATTCAAGAAGTTGGTGCAATTTTCAGCTCTTTGCAATCAATAACAAAGGAAATATGGGCAATCAAGCACTGCAAGATTGCTATGTGGCAAAATATTAATGAACTATTCTTGGGGGTTTTTGAAAAAGAATTCCCTGAAATGATTTGGTATATCAGGCTCAAATAATCCGAGATAACTGAAATTGTTATGCTCCTTCAATATTCAGAGATTTTAGCTTCATTAGTCAATAATAAGCATAATTTTTTTCAATGAGGCAGAATTAACAAGGATTCTCCATAGTGTTACTGTACACAGTGTATATTGGTCTCTGGCACATTGTGTTCATGTGTGTGAAAATTTACAAATACAATGTAGGTCCATGTTAATAAGAAGCTGGTTTAAAGTAATGATTTCCTTTTTTTCAGGTGTTCATTCAGTCGAAGGTCAATGAAAGAGAGATGAAACGTCAGCCACAGCAACAACGTTCAGAAGAAACTAACCAGGGAGCTGCTGATTTTTCTGAAGTGTGATTATTAATTATCACACTGGCCAATTATTGTACTGACTAATAAATCAAACTCAACTTAAAAACAGGCTTTTCAATAACATCCAAAGTGTAAAGTTTTTTCCTTACCTTTGTCAGTGTTTATCATAACTTTGATATATAAGGTGAATTAAGAAACTGATAAAAAAATGGATTTTTATCTACCTATAAACCAGTGCCCACCAGCTAATCTTGTTTTAGGTAAAGGGAGCTCACACAAGCTGTTTGTATGACTAACCAGCTATGGTACTCATAATAAATTTATTATTCAAGCACAAAATTACAACTATTATATTAAGGATACCGAACAGTTACACACGGCAATCAGCTTATGTGGGTAGCCTGTAGTTGGGATGTCCACAGAGCAAAGAGTGTAGCTTCAAACATCACAGTTTTTGTACAGTTAAAGCTATTTGTCTTTACAGTAATAATCTGAAGACACTAGAAAGAAACATTTTTATAGTGGTCAAGATTACTGATAAACTGGTGATTGAAGTAGTGTAGTATTTTTTTAAATACATGTAATTCTCTCATTTCCTGAAATGATCTGTCAGTAACATAAGATGCATGCCTGAATATCTCATATTTAATTTTAAGCATCTTCAGTGTATATTGTTCTCCTCTTATTCTTTGTAAGCTCTGTAAGTAAATGTTTTTTTACCAGCACTAAATCAGCAGTGTTCAAATAAAGATGATATTTACCTGTGGCTTTGTTGCAAATGTACATGATAGTCGCTGATAAAAATTCCTCTACCCTTTCTTGATCCCCAAATATATATGTTGGGGTTTAATTTTATGCTTGGTTTTTTTGTCTGTCTTTGTTTTGGGGTATGGTAATGTATGGTAAAGAGTTTTTAAACTCGTAAAAAACGAAGGGAAATAAAAATTAAACCAAGGATAAAATTGAATTACAACATATGCATGTAAGCCGCAGTGTTGAATCAACATTTGGTAAATGCAGGGTTGTTGAGGAAGACAATCTTTGAAAGCTTTCCTGATAACATGTTCATGGTGGTCACATACAGTACCTAGTTTAATTTCCCTACCTGCCACAAGTCTCCTGTAGCTCAGTGGTAGAGCTTCTGGACTAGAAACCAGATGCCTGCAGTGCCGGATCCAGACCTCGAGATAAGGGAGAGGCCCAGGCCCCCCTCCCTTAGATAAGGGAGGGGGAGGAGGGAAATTTCCCAAAAAGCTTTTTTTGGCCCTTCGGCCTCAGTTAAGGGTGGCGAATGGTAAAATCCGAGACTCGCCGAGACCCTGAGATCCTAGTTAGAAATCCAAGCCCGAGACTCTTTGGTGAAAAGTTTCGAGACTCAAAAAAAGTAAAAGCAAACCATGAAATAACGAGACTTCGAGACCTATCAAAAACGCTTCCGAGATTTCGAGATCCTGCCAAAATTTTCCGAGACCCACGTTTTTCTAGGTACCATTCGCCACACCTTCAGTTTAGTCCAAAATTAAAAGGAGGGCCGGGCCTACTGGGCCCCCTCCCCTGGATTCACCACTGGCCTGTGCCTGTGCCTGTGTATGAACATCATTCTCAAAATAATATGTTCTTTTTAATTTCCAATAGTTGGAGTAGGTGCATTTTTTTTGTCCACAGGAATGCGTGTGGAAATCCAGCTGAAGTCCCAATTTTATTTTTGTTTTGTTTTGCCTGTTGTTTGTTTTTTTTTTTCCATAGAGCATTTTACATGATCACAGTCAGGTCATATTGGTGTTCCCATCCCTTAACAAAGCAAACAAAACAATCAATTCAATTCAATTTAGTTTAAAATTCATATTTTTTTCAGAACAGTCGTTCTACCGAAATTATTCGACATTAGATTCTCATACAAACACTGTACTTTCTCACGCGTTTGCCTACTCGTCAAGATGGCGTCGAAAACCGTGACAAGGTCTATTTAATGTCTTTGATGAAAATAGAATTTTATGTGTTCCTTTCCTCTTATCCAGGCGCAGCGCAAGGGGTCATGGGAATTTTTATGCTGAAAGGAGCGCGGGACAAAAGGATTGTAGTTTCAAATATGTCGGGCGACGATAAATCCTGACAAAGTTCCTTGATATTCGTAAGTTTTTTTTTCTAAAAAACGATTAATGGGCAATTTAATGACCACTTTTTTTTGGTCTTTTAACTTTGGTTATGTCGTGTCGTTTCATGAAATAAATCGGTTCACTTCCGGGTAAATATCAGATGCGTTCATACAGAATGAAGCGATGAAGGCCCAGGTGAAAGATGCCTTCAACACGAAGCCAAGCAACTCCGAACACTCGTTCCACTGGGAGGGCAATTTTGCCTCTTGGAATTCAAGGCCCTACCCGTGCTAAGAAAAGGAAAGTAACATCAAAGCCGTCAAGCTCAAAGTCAACCAACAGTACAACGGCAGCACAACAACCGGATAATTGGAAAACAAACTTATCTTCTTTACTTTGGAAGTTAGCTGAAAAATATTGTCCGTGGCTGACAATTGTCTTGGAGCCAATCAAGAGCAAATACCCAAATACCGTTTCCCTCATTGTTGCACTGACATTCGTGGTATTTGTATTATCTTTGGCTGGCACGATCGTAGCGCCAGCAACTCAACTTTGGCAGATTCTGTTTCCGGCTGAGTTGTCACGCATTTATTACAACGAGGTTTCATGGCCTCCAAGACATCGCTGGATATGGCGCCTGGAAGAAGTTTTCAATGTGACGAGAGAAATAAGGAGATTGTCTAAAGATCATGATGGAAAACAAGTTCATGTGTACTTGATCGGCGGACCAGGCTCGGGTAAATCTGAGCTTGCTAGACAAGTTGGACGTCGTTTGTTCGAATCAATGAAGCTAAACAAAAGACCGGTGGACGTTATTACCATTGATGCAGCTAGCGTTACTTCTCTTTTGTCAAGTCTGACAGATGCGGTTTTAGCTCTTTGTAGTCATTCCGGAAAAAAGGCGGATGGCATTAAGCAACTAAAAGAAGAATTAAATTTCAAATTCGGTGACTTGTTTTCAAACGAAGGTGTGCAAAAAACCGACATCAAACTCTCTATCCTTTTTACTAAACTCAAAGAGCTACTAGAGGAGAGGAAGAGCCAGCCTGTTTTGATTTTTGACAACGTACAAGATTTGAAATTGTTATTTAGCAACCTCCACCTCGAACCCGGAAGTAGTCATTTCGCCACATTTGTTGTCGTCGTTACTGTACAAAAACGTGTGTCTTTAGAAAGGCTGAGCGACTACGTGTATGTACAGGATCTTTATGAAGGCATGTTACCAACTGACTCTGTCAAATTACTTGAATCGATAACCGGGCTGGAAGAAGATAGCGAAAACCATGCCAGTGAACTTTCATACATTCTTGGACACCAACCTCTAGCACTATCAACAGCAGCTATCTACATTGAAAGTGTGCGAGAAGGTCCTCCAAAGCGTGCAGACTATGGATATTTGGATTACATATCTGAGTTTAAAAGAGATATTCCTTCTCTTGGAATGGAAGAAGAAATTGAGTGGCGAGAAAGTGACGCTTCGAAATATTCAATTCCAATGTACACGGCAGTTCTCAAAGCTGTGAATCTCAGCGCGCAAAATGACCCCGTGATTCGAGATCTCGCTTGTATTGGCTACACCGACACCTCCCCACTCAGTTTGGCATATGTGTTGGATTTTTTGAAAAAGAATTCTCACCAGCACTTCACAGAAGCTCAAATTCGGAACTCTCTAAGAAACGTGCTTTTTAAGGTGGCAGGCAAAGAAGGAAAGCAAACCCTCTCTAGCCATCAGGTGATTCGTGAAGCTTTTCGACAGGTCTGCAAGGTAAGTAGCAAAAACCAAGACTGCCTTGACTCGACATTTTGTAATCTGACTGCTGTTTCCCTTACAAGCAATCCTGAAAGCCGTGTCTTACTACTGGGTATTTTCTCAAGGCTCGCCTTATCTTTTGAACACCAACTGAACGCAACTATCTCAAATGTATACAACACTTCCTTGACAGACCCTAACAGTTCTTTTGGTTCTCAATGTCTAGAAATTTTGACCTCGATGTGTGTCTTTTCTACGAGGGAAAGCTTACAAGTAGCCGATATCATGTCAACCCGTTTTACAGATACGTTTTTACGATTTATCTCGCACAGTTCAGGATTCTCCGGGCCTGCCATAATAAAACCAGCAACAAACGTGTTCAGACTCAACGAAGTTGTAAACTTGACAAACTTGCAGGCAATCAGAGGTGACCGGTATGATTTGCAAATAGTGCTCCTAGTATTGTGTTTACACAGCGGAGCTACAAGTTCCAAAAATGAAGATCTCATGAGGGCACTAAATACAACTTCCACTGCAGTACTAAAAATGGTGCCCAATACAGCTAAAAGTAGAGATACCTCAGTTACATTAAACCTTCTAGGGTCTATGTATCGAACTTTAGGCTATCCCTACAAGTCAAAAGATCTTCACGAACTTGCGTTGGATGTTAATCGTAAAAATGGGGGGCAAAATTACAACCTCGTGAAAGACAACGCAAGTGAAGGACAAATGGAGCAAAAGGAATATGTCCTTGAAAGAGCTACAACTTTTCAAAAACTTGGTGTTATATATCGATATCTCGCTAATTTAAGCCTTGCACAAGCATACCACGAGGGCTCATTGAAATTACTGCAAAAATTACTGAGCCCGAGTAATCCCTACATCGCAGGGTCTCTTCTCAACTTGGCAGTGGTCTATAGTCGTCAAGGGAAGCATAGTGAGGCTCTGAAACTATATAATCAGTCACTAGCAATATTGCAGCAAACATATGGCCCACGGCATGCTTCTGTAGGCAGGATCCTCAACACAATGGGAACGATTTATTACAAGCTAGGAGAGTTTTGCACGGCGATATATTATTCGGAACTCGGATTGGAAATACTCCAGGACTTCCATGGATCTAACCATCCTCATGTGGCCGAGGCGTTGAATTTTCTGGGATTTATGTACAGGGACAAGGGAAATCTGCAAAAAGCTCA